GATAACAAGGTTAATATTCCGTATTATAATGTATATACACCATTTTGGGACACCCTGTATATGCAAGTCTTTGATGGATAAGAAAATAGTTACTCACTGCCCTTCGGAATTGCAGTAGTAGTTGGCTCTGAAACCGAAACTTTCACATATGACCGAGATTGAAAGCTGGCACACGTCAGCGAATCTCATAGAGAGGTACAGTCCAATCCATTGAAATTTCAGTGCCTTTGTCTCATTCACTCCAAAGCACGTCGTTAGACAAGAAAAATATCCTGTACTACATGTTATTTGGACGTCTACCGAGAGGTGCGATCTTATTTAAACAGAATACAAAGTTAAAGTTAAACGCAACTGTCACTTCCCGGATCCTGGTTGGAACTGCATAAATCACCGCCAAGTGCTAAAGAGTTTTCTTGATACGAGTACCGTCATTTCTTTCAATTTCTGTTGAGAATCGAGAAGTGACATTCGCGTTGAACTTTATCGGTGAACGCACTGTATAAAAACATGAAGCCGTGTGTCTCATCATGTCACGTGATCCCACGTAGGTTCAAATACAGTCACTTCCGTTTGAGGGGCGTCCGCTTATTCGCTGTTTTATTCCAGCACCTCGAAGAGAATTAAAATCCTATCCGTGGCCACGTTAGAAGTTACCGCGCAGTTCCACTGACTCTCCCCAACCATTCCGACTCCGAAGGCCTCTCTCTCTCTCATGGTGAACGTCTTAAGAAAACGCACGGTCATATTTACGTGTCTCGTCTTGAGCTTTTTCAATACACGCGGCAACCCCCGCTTATAACGAGAGTCGTCAGCATTCGGCTATCAAACACCTTCAATCTGCGTTCTTATCTCAGGGCAAAGAGACCGAGTCTCAGACTCCTAGAAAACATTGCGGACTTTAAAACTAAGGCCTCACGGCTCACTTCATTTCGGTCCAGCCTTTTTTTTTCTTCTTAATCCGAGATAAAAAGACAGACGCCAGGAACCCTCGAAAGTGGCACACTTCGCTGTGTTTTTCAAACGTCACGAGAACTCCAACCGACAGAGCTCCACGGCACGCAAAGAGGGTTGCCTGGAGAGACCGCTGTTTTCCCACTTGCAAAGAAAACATCGAACGATTTGCCTCGGTGTACTACAAATTGTCCCTACCCTTTTTAACTTACTGTTTACATTTGACGATTAACAGATATCACGTGATGTTGTCCTACTGGGTTTTGGCGCCGTGCAGTATTGTCCCTGAAGAAGTAGACAGTATGTTCCTCCGAAACGTTAGCATCTATCGGCGAGTCTACCAAAACCCCACAACATCATCCTCACCGCCGTGAAAACCTCAAATATGACAGACAATTAATCTCAGCGTATGTCATCGGCTCAGTTGGCATCACTGCCCTCAAACTATTAACGACAGATCTCAGGGGAGACTTGTTTTTCCTCAGTTTCTCCAGGAAAATAGTCCAGTGTCTTAAAACAGATCATGACCGTTTCATGTCATAACTTGTGTTCTTTAACGACGACGTCATATCAACTACAGAAATCCCCCCTCCCTCCATATCTGGCATATCCAAGTCTGTTATTAAAGTTTTAAAACTGCTCGTGTGTTGCGTTTGACCTATAAATGACCTCTGTAGTTGTAATCGCTGTTATTTACAAGAACCTTATTTTCTTCTCTGGTAGACGTCGGGGGGAATCTACGTATTATAAGCTCCTAGAATCGCTGATTCTACAAGGAAGAGGACGCCGTCTATGTTTATTAAATCAGGCTTGAGATTGGATAAACACGTGAAAGCTACAGCCTAGCAATTTCCAAGGCAACCAACCTGTAAACAATGAAGGTTGCTGTGTGTGTGTGTGTGTTCAACTCACTGTTGCGGGTCATTGCCGTCACTTCTGCGAAGTAGCGTGTCTGCTTCGTATTTGGAAATAAACATTCCGGTCGGGGATCCGGAACTAATGTCATGATTTCGATTCTTGGCTAAAAAATTCTCTAAACGAAATGAGCTCATGATGAGTAGTCATATTTCCGGTCAGTACGAATCATTTCCAGAGCTACTGTATGGATTTCGATTAGATTTCGTACACTAAAATACTTTATGTAAATCAGTTAAACTGCTTCGTCTTCGTGGGTGCTTTGTGTTCACATAACATTTCACTGTTTAAGTCCTTAAAATCTAAATCACAACTATACAAAACAATTATCAAAAATATTGCCCATTTAACACAAGTTCGTAAAAGATGATTCAAAAATTTTCTTCGTGACTTCTTAATATTACAGCGTGTCCTACGTAACTCTGAGCCCAGCGTGTGATGTTCTGCTTTGTGACCGACTAATTTTCCGGTTGTGGGTTCTTTATTAAGTGGGACAGTCTGTACAAGGAAATACGTGCAGTGGTTTTGTGATGTTAGCTACGTCAAACCACAAATACACGTAACAGGTGGCATATGATGTTACCAAGCAACGCAATAAGACAATAAAATGTATAATGGATCAGTCCACAATTCCTTGAAACATGTTTATGGTAGTTTATATTCCTGGTAGAATCACGAGGCACGTATCTCTTAATAGACATAATTACCCAAGTTTATTCTCTCGTGTTTGGACCGAATGACAAACGTGTTACGAAGCTTATCCTAATGTGGTTTTTAGATTCCTGTTTCATCCAAGGTCTAAAGCAGCCATATAAAACAATTTCACACGACTTCATTAAGTTTTAAACAACTTTTAATGTTTGTTACATAATTTACTTGATAATCGTAATTGTAATACGTCTAATGTGCTGTTGATTGAAAATATCTAATTAGAAATGACGTGGATAAAATCAGTCGTTACCTATTTTAAAAATACTATCCTGAAAAAACCCGGCTTCCGAGCAAGAATCTAATCCGAGACCTTATGGATAGGAAACAGATGTCATAACCACTCGCCCCACCTTGTGTTTGGTGAATTATTTCTTAATATGAATATTCTGAATCATACATGGATATCCAGTCATTGAACTTGCAAGAATATCTAGGTATTTAATTTATTCAGAGTATGTAAGGGAAAATATTTGCTAAATATCGGAAGACGAATTAAATTGATAACTTAAACCCAGCTGCTTCTCACTACTTTAGCTTCGCATCTAATTAAAACCCACAGCAGATCGAATTTCTCATACGTAAACCAGATATATTTCTGACAGACCCATCACATTACTTACATACCTGTACTAGACACTAACTACTTATCCTGTAAAAATTCCAATTTACCGCAGGATTATGTCGATATCCTGGGAAATCTATTCGTTCTTGTAAGTTCATAACATTGCGAGACTTGATAAAATATACCCACATACTGGAATGTAACAACTGTTTACAAAATCTGCACATACTCATCCACACCCGAATTTTAAACACAAAATTACACACGTTTTCTTTCATTATTTCATGTAGGCATTGTTTCTAGGTATCTACACAAGTAATGTATAATATTTACAATTTTGGCCTACTATACGTATTAGGCGTGTTAGTCTGTCTAGAGAACGGCCATCATTAAGCTATTGTAAATTGCATATAACATTTCCTTAAAATATATATTTCAGGATTATATCTCAATTACATACATGCATTTATACTAAATGTCACTCTTACAAATGTCAATTACAAGTACTCACCTGTCTTCTTATCTGATGGATTACTTAAGAACTGATAGCAGAGTTACTTGGATTTTCCAATCCACGAGATGCTTCATAAACTGTAATCTGGTAAATACGAACACATTCACTGATCCAGCGTCGTTAAATAACTTTCTCACAAATAAACAAAAGTAATCTTATAAATACAAATCACATTTACACACTAAGTAACCGCATTTGATCCGACGTCGTTAAATAACCTTCCCACGAATTCACAAAAGAAACACGTTTCACAGCATTGACCGTAGAGCACAAAGGATTCAGCTGTTACTAACTTCCGGTTGATCTATATCGATGTTCTCTAACCTTCGTTTAATCGATTTATATTACGCAGTAGGTGCTTTCATAAAGCATGGAGTTTCATTTCGCATAAATATCTATTCGTTTTCAATTTTTCTTAATCATACCACAGTGTTACACCTTTTAGAGACACTTCTAGATGGAATTAAAATCTAAAACTCAGTTTCATACCAACCTCCTGCTCCTTTAAAGTGGGAAATGTCACGGAACAAAATAAATAGTAGTCGCTGAGAGAATCAGTAAATTGCCCGCTCTTTACGAAACCGAAGATCATTACTATGTTCACATGAGCACACTATAGGGTGTAGCAAATGTTTTTTTACCGCCCAGTTTAAATCTTTTAACGTCTAACGCATGATCTAAAGCTTTCACTGTAATTATCTTCCATTAAAAATATAATATGGCCTAAACATATACACAATTCTAAATATACCTGTCGTCTTAACCCTTCAAAACCAGTGGTAACTATATATACCACCTTCTTTAACAATAAGTAACGCTGCATTTTGATGTGATTTTCAGGGTAAATAACTATTATTACCTAAACAACACGGAGTATACGATGTTTGTAATAGTAATAACCGTGTTTTATTTGGGGTATGAAGTGAAATTATTATTTCAACGAGCTACGGCTTCAAAGAGTTAAGAGATAACATACGTTGGAGTGTCTGAGGAAAATATTTTGAACATACAAGAGTTAAAGTAATAAACGATTTGAGAAAATTACATGATAAAGAGATTATTTTTCCAAGGCGAAGGTGGACAGATTCATCATTACCTTTTTGTGCTGGAAGACTCATCAAAGCTTTATTGATTGTACAAAAAATTTATGCATAATTACAACAAGCATGTTTTATAAATATTAATCATTTTCTATCATTCTGAAGTGTAGAACTCCTGAGAAACTACGCAATTGAATCCAGACTCCAGGAAGTAAGGATACTGGAAATTCTATTTATACGGAGGCAAAGAAACATTTGTTTATCGAATGGCTGGTTATCACACAAAACACTCTCTGTTGTCCCCTAGGTACAGCTGATGCCCCCTGCAAGTCTACAGTGCGCAGAGTGGCTGCGCAGTTGAATCGAGCAATGTCTGAGAAGGGACTGGCTCTGCTGGTGAACCACGGCATCTCCGACGACAAGGTATGTCGTTCAGGGACCACATGGAAGTGTTGAGCTCATCATCCGGGACATGGCCGTGCCTTGGCGGCCATTTAAACAGAGTTCCCTGCTATGCTGCATATTTTATCGCCTTTAAATTGAATGCTTAAATATCTCTTATATCCTGCCATCTCTTCATACTTTAATATAACAATGTTTATTTTTTCAGACGTTCATTTTATACCTTTTACCATGGTATTGTGTGTTATAGCCCACAGTAGGAAGCAAGCATGTATTTCCATATGATAATGGGTATTCTTTTGTATAAAATAAATATTGTTAGGGGATTTGATCAAGGTCGTTTCTGTTAGACCGGACAGTTTCAGAACATGGCAAGATAAATTGAATATCATCGACGGCCGGATTCATTGCTAATGGAGGCCACTTGTTAGCCGGAATGCTGGGTTCAATGCCCGCATTGCGCGTAAAAAAACTTCCGTTCTTGCATTCTGCAGCTACTCTGTGCTTTGAATTTGTTTCCAAGGCCGATATGCATTCAGGTGAATTCACCAAAGGTCTCCGATGTAAGACTGAACTTAAAAAAAAAAAATACTCCAGTGACGTCACAGATATTTTGTTCGATAATATCCACAGGATGTTGATTCCCTATCGCTATGATTGAATTCGCCAGATATTGAATATTTTTGATGTATTACTTCAAAAGCTGTTTACGTGGTCTAACGTTTGAAATAACAAGCTTATATGAAAATTACATTTTTGGGTAACAAAAATTAATAAGCACGCACACGTGAGATATGAAAATGCATACAAAATTCTGACTGGAAAACCTGAAGGAAAGACGACTGACAAGACCTAGGACCAGATGGAAGGATAATATTAAAATGGATCTTGGGAAGTAGGGTGAAGGGCTGTGGTGCTATGTCCGTGCCATCTTAGCGAAGTCACTTGGGTAAATAATTCACGTTCAGCTGCAGCTAGGGCAATTTATACAGTGTGTCCCAAAAAGATGTATACACATTATAATACGGTGTCCGCTTGTCAGTCAATTGATCATCGCTGTCAGCTGTGCCACGTGGTTAATGGTGGCAATTTTGAACACCTACACTAGATTTCTGCAAATTCACCAAGTGCATTGCATTCACTGAATTTGTATATACTTCTTTTTTAGACATCCTGTATTTTCTTTTTCCAAGTCCTTACCAATTAATTAATCATCAATCATCATTATTCGATGTAAAATCTGAATTAATAAGAACGGTATGGGGATTGGTAGCTGGAAGGCCGGGGTTCGATTCCTGGTACGGAAGGAATCTTTTCTTCGCGAGCACGTTCCACATCGGCTCTGGGGTCAGCACATATCCTACCCAATGGTACTGAGCTTCCTTTCAAGGGAGTAAACTGAGACGAGGCGTAAAACTAAACATTCATTTCCATCTAGTGCCGAGGTTAAGACTGTGTGTGGAGCTATACCTCCACTCCACCATACGCCTGTATGGCATGGTGCTTAATTAAAGACCAGGAACAACTTTACTTATCAGATTTACAAAAACTGTAAAGAGCTGGATTCTTCGTACTGAAAAGGCGTTCGACACGCTTCAGTTACTATGACGAGGGAAACGTCGATTTCTGAAGTTGAATAAAAATCAAGGTTGATAAGAACTGGAGGTTCAATGCTGTGTTCACAAGAGCTTGCCACTGAAACCTATCCTAGACTAATTTATTTTATCCACTGGGCATATTTCCTTAATCTCTACTTAAAGTACTTCATTCTTCATAATTTTTATATTATATTTTTATTATTTTTAATTTAGTGTTCTGTCTGACGACAGGTCCATATGAACAGGATCCTTCCATCCTTTTCTCGGACTGGGACCTGTTCATATACGTTCTTGGCAGATGATCCAGAAGTGGTTTGCCATTGCCTTCTTCTGTGTGTGAATGGAGTAATTGTTGGGATGCCACGGAGGAAAACTCCGTGTTGCCTAGACCACGGCCTTGTCCAACACAAGTTATAAATTCGGGCACCGCCGGGAATCGAACCCGAGACCCCAGGATTACAAGGCCAGCGTTCTAACCGCTAATACCAAGTGAAATGTTCTATTCTGCGCACTGGAAAATTTGTTATCTGAATATTTAACTGCAGATTACATACACTTCCATCTTCATAAAATTACGTTTCTTTATCAACGCATGCGTATGTAAGATAACATTTCAGTTATCTGCAGTTTTTTTTAAACCTACTGTCTGAAGGCACGTGTCACACGAGGAAAATCACGTGTCAGTTTGACAGTGTATGTCTGTTAAGTCGGACGTGAAATCGCATTTATCTCCTGAACGTACGTTTACTGCGTAGAAAATATACGTCTCGGATCGAAATTGCTACTTTTACGGAAAGAAATGCAAATAGGCAAAAATATTATTTTAATCGCATGTGGTCTCTTAAAATGATTTGCTATCTGGACTTTTTTCCATCGTCTTTGTTTAAAGAAGAAAAAAAACAGATAGCAAATCATTTTAAGTGTAATCCACCAACGTCAAAACCCTTTATGGTCTCCGTTTATCAGAGGATTTCAGTAGCCAAATCCCGAGGAGGGGGGGGGCAGGCTTTTGGTAATTTAGTATTTGTACATCGCACCTCATTTACCATGACGCACAATCACAAGGCGTCTAACAAAACTCGCGCAATTGTAATCGACAGAAATACAGCGCAACACATCAAAAGCCAGCACACAAGCGTGTAGCGTGTTAGCAATCGAGGTTTGGCTAACACGTTCACTTGCAAGGTCACGCAGTCCCTTCTCACCTCAAGCCTACATTACATCGCCTTTATTCTAATTGCGCGTGCGCAAACAGACGGGAGAACGTAAGCCTAAACGAGGTGGCTAACATGGGCTGCTGGAGCTGGTTATCTAGTCGATTCTGTTCTGTTCCAATGTATGGAGTATCAATGAACCACAACAAAATTCCTTTTATTTTACGACTTTCAAAGTTTTACTCTGATCCTGATCAATACATTACGAAATCTAATAAAAGTTTTCGGTAATTAAATTTAGAATATGGCTGTCTTCTGGGTTGTAGCGTCATGTAGTCAGACAGAATTTTACTTTGTTTCTGAGGTCCTTGGCATTGCCCTGATGATGGAGGCAGCAATGACCTCTAAAACGTTGGTAAACTTCTACCAGACAACGTGGCGCTACAACCCAGAAGACAGCCATCTTCACATTTGCTGCCACGAAAACCTGAAATTCTACTAATTAAAATTACATTTTATGGGTTATGATTCCTTCACGTGTTGTAATGATTATAACAAAATATTAACCTCTATAAGTTAAGTAACAGCATTTCCTCTACATCAGATACAGTTTAGTGTAGAAACAGGTACGGCAGTGTTGCGTAAGACATTCTATACCTCTCATCATAAAGTCTAACTCATCTAAACATGAACAATTTTTAATATCCTAATCAAAATAACTATTTCCATGGTCTCTTTGAATATCGTAATGATGTGATTTCCTTGTTTTCAGCTTCGGGCGGTGTACGATGCTTTCGACAACTTCTGCGATCTTCCTGAAGATGTCAAAAACACATTTCGAAGGACCTCCCCCTGCAACCATGGCTATGTGCCGCCTGGAACGGAAAGGTGAGAGAGATCCTTCTGCTTTCAGACTACTCGTGCTCTGAATTAAATACCCCCTTGGTGGTTGGCGGGTGTTCATAGTTACCCCTTCCCACAAACGCAGCATCTGTGGCTTAGAATAAGAATGTCAAACTCAGTGTCTGCAGAGAAACACATTTCCGCTTCACAAGAGACATCTGTTTACAGCACTGAGAGTGTACCAGTCTGACCACTCGCATTGTACGACTTCTCAATTCAACAGTGGGCAGTGTGTCACATTTATGAAGAAAAACTCAAAAAGTTTCGAAAAGGCACACTTCATTATTAACCCTTTGAAATGATATTTAAGAATTCAGTCCGTACCGCGAAGAAAACACAACTCTCCACCATTACAAAGATCAACTGATTAACGCTGTTTAAGGAAATAATCGCTGTTTGAACTTAAAATCATAATGAGTGGAGACTACAACAAAATTTGACCATTGGGTGAGGCCTGTTATTATGATAAACATTTAATATTCTTCGAAGGATTTTGAGATTTATCAAAAATGCTACGGCGAATACCCAGAATAAATACGTCCCTATAAAGAATAATTACCTGAAGACACGAGCAGAAGTTTCGTATTAGCGATGTGAAATTTTTTGATTCAACTCCACTGTTAGAGAGTATTTTCAAATAAATTCAATTTATTTTTAGTCAATCGCTGCAATGCACTTATCGCATAGAAAATAGTTAAAGAAGTGCCTTCTCATATAACTGTTGCTAAATCCGCCAGATTCTCAAGTGAATGCGTGGAAGAAATGCGACACGCATTCAACATCTGTTGGTTAGACCGGAATCTACCAGATGCAGAAGTACAAGGATTCCAGGCTGTGGTAACAACACTGGCACAAGACTTCCAGAAGTTGGCAGCTCTTCTGCTGCGAGCACTTGCTTCAAGTTTAGGTACATATCAATTCTGAAGAGTTCTGACGAGGGCGTAACACGATCTGGGTTGTTGGGTTTCTGGACCGAGTCCATTGTCCGATGTTATAAAACACAATGTTTTTAGGACTGGAATTGCCCTCATCTTCAAGTGTAGTAAAGGGGGTACCTACTCTACCTGGATGACAAGGGCAGATCCAGTTCTCAAGATATGTCTTATAACATCAGACGATGGACTCAGTCCAAAAACCCAACAACCCATATCGTGTTACACAGTTTTACACTTTTTCCTACCTTTCCTGTTACCAAAAATTTGTTTATAATTTTTTTTTTCAAAGTTCCTTGCAAAATACAAGTTTCTGTTTTGTTACTACCGCAATGCTTATATCACGCTATAAATAGTTGAGAATTATTTTTCCTCATATCTTAAACATTCATTATATCAAGAAACATGGCCGTATT